GCGCGGAGGGGAGGAGAGGCGCGGCGGGCCCGGTGCGGGGACCCTGCGGGTTTGCGGGGCCGGGCGGGCGGCGTGAGCGGCGCCGGAGCAGCCGGGAGCGGGCGCAGCGGCCGAGCTGCAGGGCGCTCCGTTTCCCTCCCGGTGGTTCCCCGTGTGCGTTCGCGGAGGGGAGCGAACGGGCGTGTTTGTTGCACGTCCGCGTGTGCTCAGCACAGCGCCAGGCCCCCGCTTCAGAACAGTTGCTTTTCTTGACGTGTCTATGCAGTTAAGGCCTGGTTTTGTACACCTTTGTAGAATTAGGAGAACGAATGTATAGAGCAAGGCCCTAAACACAAAGTACTCTGAAATTCCTGGATAAACAGTAATGTTTTAATTGATTAATGTTTAATTGGTTATCCTGAATCATGTTTGGTTAGCAGGCAGACAGGTAATGAAATCCCAGAAGGATTTCAGAAGAAAAGGAAGTCCCACRACGGAGAAAGAAATGTGCTCCCCAAGTGCTGCAGTTTGTGGTTGAAGAGAATAAGCTACCTGCTTGGGGAGACACCAGCCCTCAGTGGAGAACCAAATCATTCAGCAGCAGCTTAACTGCTGCCCGTGTCAAAGTGACAGCCACTACGACCGAGCTCCTTGAAACAGCTATTTACAAGCCTATAAATATATAAACCTCTTTTCTGTGTAGTCATAGAGTCATTGTGGTTGCAAAAAACCTTCAAGATTGAGTCCACAAAATGTAGTAGATAAAACAGATTTTTATATRTAGATGTATAGATATAGATCTATCTACCAGGTAGATAGCATATCTATATAAATATATTTAATCAGTGATCAACAAGTGGATAGGAAGGCAGTAGTATTTTGAGGTTACAAAGTAATTTAGGATTGTAAGGACTGAAGAACTCTTCAGTGACCAACACTAGGGCAACAGAAGATACATGCGTCAGGTAAAGTAATATTGGAAGGAACAAATTGAACTGTTTATTTCCAGTGTTGTATTTACCCATTCAAGTTAAAGACCCGGTGTCTGTGTGGCTAGTTTTTTTTTTCTGCAGTCAGAAATTAAATTGTACAATGAATGCAAAAAAAAAAAAAAATCTAAGGTGGAAAAATAATGCTGGATGTATTCCTTAATTTACACATCTTGTTTGGCCTGGATTATCCTATATTAAAGGTACAGTTATGGCTGTAAGTTGATTTTCCTGGTCATGCATCTTYGTTGCATATTTGAATTTTAGCTGAAATCTTTTTCTGTCTTAATTGCGGCTCTAGGATTGGAAGAGGCCTTGAGAGATCATTAGTCTGCTTCTCCCATCCCCAAAAGATAGGTTCTATACTTGCCTGTAGCTATATATAAATCTGCCTATTTCTAAATATCTATGAACTAAAGGATATTAAAGGAATTAATGGGAGGCAGGGCCCAAGAAAATAAAGAGTTATTTTTTTTGCATGCTAAGTAGTTAACCTGTGGAACTGTTGTGCGAACGCTTTGGATACTCATCGTTTATGTGAGTACAAAAAAAAATCAAACTCAAAAGAATTCCACTGATAATGCTAAATATGAGGTATTTTTKGAGACTAGGATAGTGGTTGCCACTTATTTGTCCCRTGTTTGGATTCTTGCTGAGCTCAAGATGCTGAGCTGCTACACCTTTCTGACCTGCTATAACTGTTTCTTACACTAAGTGCCTGCCTGTCCTTACTGTTGAAAACTTCTTTATGATGCATATCCCAAAAGTCCTAAGTTGGAGTTTAAGTCATTACTTATTATCTGTKTTAGTAGAGAAAATAGTTAAATTTCTTGTTTTTTCCAATAATTTGAAAGCTTCTCATGTTGAGAGGGGAGATGGAAGAGAAGCTCTGTAATTCCTGTTCCCTCACCTCTCATTAAACAGCAGATCTTGTCCTGTCCTTCTAATATGAAAAGCACAAGTAGACGTTTAGCCCAGTTCGTTAAGAAAATAAATGATCCAACGCAGTTACTATCAATTCTGCTGGGGTTGCAGAGCATCCTCAAGAGAGGAGGTCAGAGTACTCTGAGAGCTACCGCATTCGACTCTGTCTGCTGCCTTATCTGAATCACTGTGGATGGTGTATGTGCTGACATCAGAAGGGTGATACCACTTTTCACTCTTCAGTCTCGCAGAAATAGGTGCTTGGAAGGAATTAGCTTTCCTTTTTTTTTTCTATTTTTTTTGAGGTTCATAACTACAGTTAGTTCAGTGTTACTAAATACACTTAGTACAGTGAGGTTCATACAGTTGAAGGGCCTGTTACTATTTGATGACTTGTGCCTCAAAGCAGCCAGATCTAAATCCTAYTCCCCATTATGCACATCTGATGCTTGCAGTATATCTATATGTTTAGGGCTGTCTCATATTTCCATAGCATACAGTATGAACAAAACCTAATATATGTCGATTTAGTTGAATATGCACACAAAGTAGATTTTCTCTGTGTGAGAATACTAGTTTTGCAATTAGCGCTTCAGGAAATAATTCAACCTGAGTAGAAGTTTCTTCTAAGGAAATATTTTGCCCATCTGATATGGGAAGTTGTAGGTAAATAGTTGTTGACACCGTGTGATGCTTTTTTGTGCTTTACAAAATGCATGTGTGCTGCATGGCTTTGGAAAGGGAGCAGCATGAAAATGTCAACAGCTCTGTTCACATGGCCTAAGTTGGTGCCTACTACAGCCTCCCTTGATAGCTGTGTCTCTTAATGCCTACCTTCCTTATCACAGAATATTCAAGGTTGGAAGGGACCTCTACAGATCATCTAGTCCAACCTTCCTGCTCAAGCAGGCACACCTACAGCATGTGGCACAGGGTGGCATCCAGGCGGATTTTGAAGACCTCCAGAGAAGGAGACTCCACAACCTCCCTGGGTTAGGAGGGGAGACTCCTTATCTTTCCCCCTTCACCCTTTCTTCCCRTTCCAAAAGTACAGGAAGCTTCAATTTTTGTTATTAATGATATGCATTGGTTTTAGCACCAGTAAAGCAAACTTACTGTGATRTGAGTAAGCAAGCAGGTCATAAGTATTTCTCTTCTTGGGGGAAAAAATAGACCAGAAAACTTGCAATTGTCTGAAAGCAGTTTTTCTGAGGTGCTTTTTTTTTAAATATAAGTTAGTTTTCTGTACATTTATTGTCTCCCCAGAAAACCAGGATTTACCAAATTGCTTTAATGCACAGTATTTGGAGAAGAAAGGGAGGAGGTTTAATACACAGGAGTCSTATCCAGGAGGGAAGCTTTCCCTTCTCCCGCCTGCTGGTGGAACAGGATTATTTCAGGAGTACYGTTAATCTCCATTATTGTTTTTAAACTGGAGAGGCTGCTGTCTGTAACGGTGCTTCASGAAATGGGTAATAAGTAACTGCAGACCCCCATGGGCTCCTCTGGAAAGCATGGGGGAGCACTTGCTTATGCAGCCCCAGTGCCAGAAGCATTTGGCTCCGTTTGGCAGCTCTTGCCCATGCCACCCATGAAATAGGACTCTTATCCCAGAAGAGGCACCCAATACAATAGATATTAATTTGCATAAGAGGCTGTTTTCTAATTATGGATAGTTTATGTGTCCAGGGACTCTTGATTAGTGATGAATTGCAACTGGGGAAGAATATGARTAGCTGGAGGGAAGGAGGACAAAAATGAGAAAATTACAATAGGAATTGGCAGGACTGAGATGAAGGCAATCTTTTTAAAGTGTCCCATCTAAAGCATAGTAGAGAGAAGCAATTTTGGATCAGTAATGAGGAATCATACRTTCATTAACAGGAATTACAAATAATTAGTTATTATTAAGACAAGTAAGGCAGAAGATGAATGGACTTCTTTCCTGGAGAGTATGTATCTAGGAGAGAAGAACYGGGATTTAAGAGATACATCTACATTCCTTACTCTAAGACTATCAATCACCGGAGCTTTGCTGATGGAAACTGTGCGGTCTTAAGATTTTTTTTTTCCCTTTTATTTAACTGTGCCATGACAGGAAACATAAACATAAGAAAAGGCACAAACCAGGGTTAGCGTTGCATGCGATATGTACAAGCTGTGCAGAAAAACGAAGTGACACCAGGATTTTTGAGTGAGAAATTGCAGAGTTCTCTTTAAAGCCATTTTTGCCAGAGGTTTTGCTTATATCCCTGTTTGGGTGGGAGAAGGGCGTATTTTCATCTTATGTAAGAATATAAAAACATGGAGGATTTTAAAACTTGTGCAGCCTGTTTTACATATTACTTTACCTTCTATATCAACCCTGATTGACTTTATAGGACCTATTTTGCAGCGCGGGCAAGTGCTGAGTAGAGTTTCAAGACAGGATATGGTCATCTTGATTCCAAATTGAAGTTTCAAATAGTTGSGTTTATTTATTTATTGCATGTGGAAGCCACAGACAGATAACCTGCTCATGAGCAGTTTTACATATGTTTGGTAAATTAGATGTGCAGGCTAGTCTAGCTGTGGAAGCCAGGAGCCCAGAAACCCACCTGTGTTCTGTGAAAATACAAGACAAGCTGTGCTTCCTTTCCTGTGCACAGTGGCTGTGTGATATCCCTAGAGCTTCTGATCACGGGAGAAATTTGTGCCTGTGAATTCATGAGAATTTTGCTAATGTATTCAAGACATGGAGGATAAACATGGAAGTGACTAGACTTTGTTTCCATTTAGCTTGACTGTTTTGTGCCATCTTGTCATTAAAGCATAATCCAGTGATGATTATCATATATTTTAAAGGAGTATAAATGCATTTTTGTAAGTCCTCCTCCACCGTGAAGCAGTCTGTGATGGAGAAGAGGCTTTTCAATATGATGCAGTGATTATCTGTGTTTTTTCTGTGTTAGTGTTATTAATAAAAGTTGTAAGCTAGATCCACTTTTTTATTGTTGTTTTCCCTGTTTTGCAAACGTGCATGTAATCTTGTTTTGATGAGGTAACATCAAACATTCCAGTGAGGCCGGAATACTAGTGCTGCTCTTCTATTAACGGCTTTGACTTGCTAGCTCAGAGAGCAGCCACTCTTTGGGAGAAAGCAGAGTTGGTGTTTGGCCACGTTTAGGCAGCTGAGTTGGTTTGCAGAAGGGTCTGAGTGCCATAGGTGACACAAGGTGAGGGACAGGAGTAGGGGAGAGAATGGGACAGTTGGTCCTCACTGCTGCTGGCAGGGGTGACCTGYGAGATATCCTTATTCTGTGCTGTCTGATCGGGAGCAGTAGCACATCGAAGAGGCTGGAGAGGATTAGTTAACCTATCACTGCTTATCCGCTGGTGAACAAAACTTGGCTTTTAATTTACAAGTCATTCTCTGTGCTTTTTCTGTCCTCTGTACTTTTGTTGTTGTCATATGTGTGTGCATTATATATATTTCTTCTTTTGCTCCCGCACCAAGAAGAACAAATAATCAGTTCTCCAGTCAGTTCATGAAATAATTAAGCTACAGAAGGCTTTGTTAATACTAACATTAGAGAGAAATTGGAGATAAAAACGCATAAGAACTAGCACGAGGCCAAAATTGAGATGTCACAGCTCTGTGAGCACTGTGTCTGGTCTCTCTTGCAGAGAGCTTGATTGCAATTAGTTGCCTTAACTGCTGGTGATCTTGATAAAAGAATGACAGATCTGGCTTTCACAAAAGTCAAAAGATAAACATTCCCTACATTTTGAGTTATGAGCTGGAACAATGTTTTAGAGGTATTTGTTGATAAGAATTGCCTTAGTTTTCTAATAGTTTTATTGAAATAATGAACTAGCTTAAGAACCATTTTGGCCTTGCAAAGAAGGAAGGAGCAGAGCTTGTGTAGTATTTACCAAGGCAACCAGATCACTCTGGAAGCCACTAAAACAATTGCCCCACAAATTCTTTTCATCCTTCATTATGAGATCCTGTGTTTGTGAATGTAAGAGCTGCTTAGGTGCTGAAAGGTCTCCTTATTTATTAAGAATCTGCATCTGCTGTTCAGTGCTATGGTTACTTCTGCTGGATATTCCTAACATACAATACAATGTAATCACTCTGTCAGAAAAATCTTGTTTAAAGAAAAAAAACAATAATAACAACACCAGCTTAAAATCTTGGTGCAAAAATACAAATATGTTCAATAAAAGCAATTGCTTAGATTTAGTTTTAGTGTGAGAAATTTTAGAATGTGTATATCCCTTTATGAGTGTTAAATGACTAGAAAACAATGGTTTCATGAATATAACTGATTTTTTTTTTAGTTTAGGAAAATAATGCGTTGCATCTCGTTGTGGTAACGTGAGGCTTGTTCTACTCTGCATTTTATTTAGAGCCCACTGTGCTGAAAATATAAAATAAAACTCTTCCTCTTGTTGTTTTCCTTTTTGTTAGGCATTAAGACTAATCTATACCACTGCAGTAGCACAGAGGAAGAATGTCGCAGCCGCAGGACCTGAAAAGTACACGGAGGCATTTATTAAAAAACAGATTGAAGAGTTCAACCTCGGAAAGAGACATTTAGCCAACATGATGGGAGAAGACCCAGAAACTTTTACCCAAGAGGATATTGATGTAAGTACAGTTGCTCTGTTGGAGAAGTAATTTACTGTAGAGTTTCAGATACTGAAAGCACTTTACTTCAGCATGAGCCCCTCAGCCCTCTGTGAATTTTAATCAAACTGTCAGAATAAGAAAGAATACCAAGATGTGCTGCAGACATTGCAGCTGTGACTGTGAATAGAGATTCTACCCCTGCTACCATGTGAGGTCAGGCATCACGCTATAGAGCTATATACCGTGTCTTGCTAAAGCACAGTAGGTCCTTTTCAAAAGTACTAATGGATAATCCCCTTGATCTGAGGTTATAAGAGGCACTGTAAAGGCTTGTGTAGCGCTTGGAAATGAGTACCCACAATTTGACCTGCTGTGTATATTTAGGTGRGGTTTTCTTTTGTGATACTGTGTTTGCTGCTAACACAAATTAAATTTTACCAATGTTTTGTAACAGACAGCAGCAGCTATGCACTAGCTTAGCTTAACAATTCAAATATAGAACTAAATTTAAGTTAATTCCAGTACCTCCGATCATAATGTTTTTATTGCCCTTTCTTTTGACAACTGACAGACCWGTTCCCTCCTGTTTCCCTGTGTCACCTAAGTTCATATACGATATGCAGTCTCTTATGCAAAAAAAAAAAAAAGGTTTGTTGCAAGAATTTCTGAGTTTTCTGTTGTCTGTAAGAGTATGATGTCTTTTAACATCTCCCCCATTTCTTCATTTCTGTCTTATTTTGTCCTCGTCAAAGATAGAGAAGAGAAATGCCGTGTGGTAACTTCTGCAGTTTCATGGCTGAAGCCTTTTCTGTTTTGCAGAAACTCTGTTGTTATAGCTAGCTTGCATTGCTAGCATAGATTTTTTTCATCTTGTTGTGGCAGAATTTTATAGCATAACAGTGTCCAAATAAAAGATGTTGACAGTGTACTTATGCTGAGACAGATACCTATATGTAGAGGTGCTGATGCAGGGCAATTTCAACTACATTTGGCAGAGAAGCTTTGAACCTAAGTTCTTAAAACTTCCCTGAAAATGCGCTACAAAGTAGAGAAGAGAGAGGCAATAATGACCTGCTGAGAAAAAGGCTGAAATGAGTCCTGAGTCTTATCAGGTACCAGAAAATCCATAATGGAAGCTTGACTTTGAGTCACAAATCCATTGAAAAAGAAGCTTTATGTGAGTACAGAGCTAGGCACTGATAGTGTCAATTGCTTTTGCTCTACGTTGTGCATAGATAGGACTTTGGTCTTGTCTTCTGCAGGCAAGTGCCACTGAAAACCCTTCCAGTTTCACTGAATAAGGCATTGTCAAAAGCAAATGTATACATTGAAGCATGTATGTCAACAGTAAGAGCAGTCTGTTTCTTTGTTGGCTTTCATGTTTCTTTCAGGACTAAAATTCTCTTTCCTTGTGTATTTTGGTTTTCTTTTTCTAATGAAACTTAACTTACTTGGTTACTTTCTTGTAAAGTGTTCCTGTGTGGACTAGTCACCAAAATCTCGCCATGTTAATACAACTCTTATAGTGTAATACTTAGCTTAATTTTAACATTTAGGCTAGTAGATAAATTTTCCCAAAAGTTTAAAGAGGAGGTGAGTGCATTCACCTCTAATTTGACTTCCTTCCCATGATTGAGCCTGCTTGGAAGGCTTATAGACAGTTAGATGTCAAAAAGTGGAAAATTACTGTATCTGACCAGGGATTTCTCATTATGATCACCTGTCACTGTGGTCAAATTCCCAAAATAATTGAGCTCCATCATTAGTAAAAGTAGATTCATTCTGAAAATTGGCTTTTACAGTTGCAACACAGATGACAAATGTGGGATCTCTTTGCAGATTTTCTTTCTGAAAAGATGGAGAAGTGGAGCCAAAAGAATGGTGTTTTATTTAGTGATAGCACTTAGAGTGTATAATAGTGTTGGCTGTGCATAATTAAATTTCTGTTATAAAAATATAAAAGCTGCTTAAGCACTGGCAGGAGAATTACCAAGCTTTACATTTTGAATAGTAATAATTCTTTCTGATGACTTCTTATGTACTTCTACTCTTAATCAGTCTGTGCAGGGTATTTCAGAAGTAGACATCATAGGATTCTGACCTTCACTAGAGTTTTAGGTRTAGGTTTTTAATAAAAGCTAAAGCTTGTGAAGTTTTAAACAGGAACATAAGTTGACTTACTTGTTAATCCTTTTCCTGGATGTTGTGGAAGCAGAATTGCTTCTTACTGATGCCTTTATTTAGAAATGAAAAGTTAAGCTGTATATTACAACTATATTTCTGTGAAGAAAAAAATCCTTCAAATTGATGTATAACTCTGCAGAAGTCTACCAATTGCTTTTTAATTGGTATTATAGACCTTGCTCTGAAGCTGGGATGTTTTATTCTCCTACGTGTGAATATGTGGTATGAAGTTTCTCTAATTGATTTGCTTTGCTCATTCCATTTGATGTATCATTTTTCTCAATATTTCATAATTTGTGCTCATTTCTAATGAACAGAGTCGTTAGGACAGGCATGTCTAAGTACAACTGACAGCTAACATTAGGTGCCAGATGCAGTTTATAAAGCTATGTAGAACTGCAGAGAACAGTTTAAATAAATTAGCACCTGTACATTAGTCTCACTTGCTGGTAATTTATAAGCGAATCAGTAGAGATGACATTTAGGTAAGTCATTGATCAAGTTAACAGCTGCATCCCCACTGCCCAGCTGGGATACCTAATTAATAGAGATTGCAGTGCTGACCCGGTGCATTTCCCTGGTTGATTCTGTAATCCTTTTATTTTTGTGATTTAACTTYAGCTTATGGCTGTAGTAAACAGCCTACTTTCATTTTCCACTGTCAGTTCGGTGATATTCTACTTTAAGGCCCATAAATCTTAAGTAAGATTAATACAAGTAAAGCATCTTAATCTCCATGACCTATTTATATGTCAGTATTTTTATTATTCAATTTTATGCAATCACTAAATGCTTATCCAGATATCTGAGAACATCATAAAGCTCAACTCTTCCCCAAAAGAGTTAGCAAATCTCAAAAGCTAGAATAACACTTACATGTTTATTTTCTTTTTTGTCTGCTACATGACCTAATAGATTGCTGTCATGTAGACTGGCTAATTGTAATATAAAACGCATAATCTGTGATATTTAAAGAAAAAGATCCTCACTTCCATATGTCTTGTTACAAAAGTACAAGTAGGATTACTCGCTGTGAGTGTTGTAAATGTGGGAGAAGCTTTGATGCTCACAGGGTGTAGGGTCTTTAAATGAATTAAGACTTYCATAACCAAGATACATGGCACTGACTTGCTTTGAAACATGACYGAGTACATCTGATTTTTGAACAAAGTCCAAATTCTGTTTACAGAAACTGTTACAAATTATTATTAGATATAAAAAAAACTCTACATCATTCTTTTCATCTTCAGTATTTTTTTTCATACTTCCACATCAAAGTTCATTTGCACTGATGGTTATTGTATTTTTTATATTTTTCTTATTAATATTGCTAAGTGTTTTGGAAAATTACTATAAAAGTAGGAAAAATGAATATTTCTTTCAGTACATTTTTTTTAATCTGAAAGTTCTGGACAAGATATCTTTTTTTTTTAATTGTCTTCCCAAGCTACTATTTCATGTGTATTTTGGTATAATATTAATTCCCGTATCTGCTTCTAATATTCTCAGTGTAATCTCTTAAATACTGCTGCTAATATGGCTAAGAGTGTAGACTGGTCTTCCATTAGAAATCTGGGCCTGTGAAATATTAAATGGCAATAGCTAAGTGACCCAGCTCGAGAATTGGAGATTGCCTAGGGGAAAAGGAAATAGGGAAGGAAAGGAAGCGGAAATAACTTCAATTCTCTTGAAATGTTGCAGCATAAAGTTTTACTTCTGAGGTTAGTGTGTTTATGGTGAGTGTTTTATGTATTTTTAAAAAGGATTGAACTTGATACTTGGACTCCCATGCCGAAAGRGAAGGGAATTCCAGTGGAGAGAGTTTCAGATCTTTTTTTCTTCTGTTTTCTGCAAAGTATCTTCACTACATGTTTCTTACATAACTCAAACTATTTTCACACGTGATTTGAGCAATGAAAATTAGAGTGGGACATTTTGTGTTTGAGCTGGGGAGTTAATAGAAGTACAGGAGGACACTTAGGCAAGATGAATTTTTTTTTTTCTCTTGCCAAACTACTCTGCTACTCGTGTAATTCAAGGACTGACCTGGCTCGTGGTCTCCCTGCCCTGTCACAATGTGACTTGTAGTCAACTCTCTGAATTGAAGCCATGAATTTTAAATTTCTCAAGGCACTTTAAAAACAAAACAAAACAAAACACAGCCTGCCCCAGCTGGATGTGCTCTGTTCCGAACTAGATTCTCTGACCTCTAAGAAAGTGAGCAAACAAACCCCCCTGGCCTGTGGATGGGAAGGCAGCGAGGATCAGGAGTCGGAGCCTACGCAAGGAAGCAGGAAAACAAGGATGTGGCAGGTGTAGCAAATGCGCACAGCCTGCCGTGTGCAGTTCTGCACAGTTTATTTAATTAGTTGTTCTGCAGTTAATTTGCTTGAAGGACCACCGGATACAGTTTGTTGATGGGGCAGAAGCTTGTTCTCGTTATTCCAGCCGACCTGATTTCAGACATGGAGCTGCGAGGAGAAGGCAGCTCCATCCCGTCGCAGTGCGGTGAATCATCCGGCCCCGCGGCAAAGGGTGGTGGGACAGGGTCGCTTTAATCTGCTGCAGGAATGTTGAGTTTACCAACTCAGCTTAAGAAAAGTCTGCTGTGAATATGAGCTGGAATTAACTCGATAGTTATTTCAATCTGCCATTTCTGAAGATGTAACTGCAGAGTATTTTTCTTCTGTGTGGATCAACAGCAACGTTTAAAATAAGCAGTTTTCTATGAGAATATAAGGATGTTAAAATTATTTGCAGGAGAAGGCTGAACCCATTCCACTGTTTTCCCAACAGATGACTTAATAACACACTGGTGTTTCCCCAAATTATTAGGTACCAAGATTTTGAAGCTTGTTTATGCTGAAAATAATTATGGATATTTCTTTCCTAGGAAGGTGATGTGGAAGGTGGTGTGTTTGATGCCCAAAGGCAATGACAGCAGTRTGATTAAGCAAGTGGAATTGTGAACTAGAAGCCCAGGGTCTGTGGAAGTGAGAAAGGGATAAGTGAATGTTGCGTATTCAAGCGATGGCCTCAAGAACGTTGTCCTTGGTCAGACTTGTCACAACATTTCCTTGCTTCCCCGGGGTTCAATTCCAACTAGGAGCCARAGGGAGGATATGGGCCATGTAGCTCTCCTGGAAGGCAGAACTGCTGTTACATCTCACAGGTTTCCGRGGAGCTTTGCAGCTAACGCTTAAACCTGGCTTATAAAATTATAAAATAACTTCCATCTGCTATCTCTATGTCCAGGAAAATATAGAACATGCAGTTACTGATCTAACATTTTGATGTAATTAATAAAGATTTTTGAAAGGAAGCCTTTGTTTCAAATCACTGAATATTTTCATTGTTATCAACAATATCAGGAAAAGGTTTCCMTGATATTTGTTATTTGTACCTTCCAGCTGCAGCAGGACTAACTCCTATTTCATTCCTGACCTTTTTTTTTTTCTTTTGTTAGTAAATTGCTAGTTTACCTTGCTAGTAAATGAGCATTGAGAACTACACTTTTGCTAAAATAACATTTTCCAACAAAATCAAAACATTAGCATAGACAAAATCAGCAGCCATAAATGTTTCAGAAGGCCTGACTAAGTTAGATTCTGGGAATATSAGAAATGGATATTTGAATTGAATTGTTGATCAGAAAAGGAGAAAAGTTAAGGACCCTTTGCAGACTTCTTTTTTTTTCTTTTTTTTTTTTTTAATCTCTCTATCCCAGGATTGTTCCCAACAGACTGTAAAGAGAAATGTCCCTCCTTGATCATGGCCTCATAGAGAGAAGGCAGGAAGGATCTTGTTCYGTTTTGGAACAAAAAAGATGGCGAACCCATGGCATAGGATTATTACTTGGCTAGTAGTTGTGCAGAGAGTTGAAACCAGTTTTAAGCTTGCTTAATACAGGTTTTATGTATGTTTTAGCCTGGGAGGCACTTGATGAGCAGTCTAAAATAAACTTTAATTCAATTTTCAAGTGACAGTCATTCTCTTTGTTATGAATGGTAAATGATTGCATTTGATATTTATTAAGATTTCAGTGTCAGAGTAACTGTTCAGAGATTCTGGAAGTGCTTCCATAAAGACTACCTCTTAATTACATTCACAGTCAGTCTTAGCATCTTATAATAAATTCTTCTAATATATTATTATATAAGGTGTTTGTTTAGCGTCCTTTGGCTCTCAGCAGATCTCTCTATTGTCATCATAATTAATCCCCGTTTGTTCATAAATAGGTATTCACCTACTGTGTGTATGCATAAAACGCCCATTGACTAACAAATGGGAATATAGTAGTCACTAAGAGAAACAAAATTACCATTTCATAAAATCAAGTTAAGCCTTTTGTTTGCTTCAGAATTCTCTGAATTTCTGTTCAGAATGCCAGGAGGGGATTAATGAAAGTAATAGGTTAAGTCTTCTTACACTCTGTGCATATTAAATCAGTTGAAGCACTGACAAAACGATCCACATTCATGGAAAAAACTCTTCGTTGTGTAATAACCCTAAGGTAACCTAACCAATAAATAGGCAGCATTCCGAAGATCCTAACTCTCCTTTTCCTGTGATTCCCCTTCTCTTTGCTGTCTAGTGGAAGTAAAATGAAGACCACTGCGGTGGGGTTTACTAGGGTAGTAACATCATGTGGGGTTTAGCCTTGTAAGCTGTTTCGCCTTACGTTTTGCCAAAGGGCTTTGGAATATTTATATATCTGCCTGCCTTGCKTGAGGCAAATAATAGGAACTTTAAACATCCCATTTGAATAGCAGTAGATAACTAGTTGAGTAAAACCAAACAGTAGAGCGTGTACTTTATGTTGTAAAAATAATGGTATATAGAATAGAACCTAGAGTACAAAATCATAGAATGCCGAAGGTTGGAAGGGACCTCAGAGGTCATCGAGTCCAACCCCCCTGCTCACGCAGGGTCACCTAGAGCACGTGGCACAGGGCTGCATCCAAGCAGGTTTTAAAGATCTCCAAAGAAGGAGACTCCACAACCTCTCTGGGCAGCCTGTTCCAGTGCTTTGTCACCCTCACAGTGAAGAAATGCTTCCTTAAGTTCCTGTGGAACTTCCGATGCTTCAGTTTGAAGCCATTTCCTCTAGTCCTATCCCTGCCCACCACTGAAAAGAGGCCGCCCCCTCCTCCTCACTGCCTCCCTTGAGGTATTTATACACACTGATCAGGTCCCCCCTCAGCCTCCTCTTCTCCAGGCTGAACAGACCCAGCTCCCTCAGCCTTTGCTCATAGGGCAGATGTTCCAGGCCCCTGATCATCCTGGTAGCCCTGCGCTGGACTCTCTCCAGCAGCTCCACATCCCTCTTGTACTGGGGAGCCCAGAACTGGACACAGTACTCCAGATGTGGCCTCACCAGGGCTGAGTAGAGGGGGATGATCACTTCCCTCGACCTGCTGGAGACGCTTTTCTTAATGCACCCCAGGATCCCGTTGGCCTTCTTGGCCACCAGGGCACACTGCTGCCTCATGGTCAACTTGTCGTCCACCATGACACCCAGGTCCCTCTCTGCGGGGCTGCTCTCCAGCAGGTCCACCCCTAATCTGTACTGGTGTCCAGGGTTATTCCTCCCCAAGTGCAGGACCCTGCACTTGCCCCTGTTGAACCTCATGAGGTTTCTCGCTGCCCAGTCCTCCAGTGTGTCCAGGTCCCTCTGGATGGCAGCACAGCCCTCAGGGCTATCAGCTACTCCTCCCAGTTTGGTATTGTCGGCAAACTTGCTGAGGGAGCACTCCAGCCCTTCATCCAGGTCGTTAATGAATAAGTTGAACAGGACCGGACCGAGAACTGACCCCTGGGGGAAAACATATCATGAGTGAAAAGTGTCAGGTGTTTTTCTAGGTTGTGTTTTGGCAAACCTTTTGGTTCCAAAGGAAGAGAACTGAGTATGTTTAAAAGAGGAAAAGTTACAGTCGGGCTTCATTCTTTTCTTGACTGTTGGGACTTTGAGTTGAGTAGTTCTGGTAAGGTGCAGTAATAATGTATGGTAAAAATTTAGCTTTGAAGGGGAAAATTCACTCATTTTGATACACTAGATCACAGACTGCAGAATGAAACCTTTTTATTTTTCATGTGAGGAAGAAAATGAACTGCTTTTGTTTTCACCACAGCAGATCTGTAGCATTTTTTTGTTACCAATTCATTTGTCTATGAGTTGTGTTACTTTTGTAGACTAAGTATCTAAGATATATTTTGCTGTTGCTTTCTCAGGGAAAATGCATTGATGATCTTTGTGTTTGTTTGCAGAAAGCTATTGCCTACCTCTTTCCTTCTGGCTTATTTGATGAACGAGCCAGGCCCATGATGAAGGTAGGAGTTTCTGTTGCATTCCTGAGTACTTTAGCACAGTATTTTAAACAGAATTTTTCTTTTAATGAGGCCTGTTTATTTATTTGCAGCATCCCACTGAAATTTTTCCAGAGAAGAGAAGTAAGTATTGATTTCTATTTCTAAGCTTATAATAGGACTTTTACGTGTGTAGAAGTGAACGGTATGGCCTCTAATCTTGATATTTGAGGATTTGGGATAAAAAGGTGCTGATGGGTTATGAAATACTGGAGGTCTTTTCAGACATCTTGTGAACTGACTATAGATAAATATTTCTGATCATTTAAATAAAGACAGGTAGGAAGGTGTGCAATATCCATTGAAATCACTGGAACACCTTCTGTTGAATTCTGTAGCTTCTTGATAGAGCTATCACATCCATAACATTTTCATTAATATTTTTAATTCTCCCCAAATCCTGATAACTTAATTGCTCAGAAGGTGGCAGATTTGCAGCATTGAAATTCCGATTGAAAGAGTCTGGGTGATGTGGGTGGGAACAAAGCTCAATATTTCCTTGTCGTGCCTCAGATTTGACCTGAAAGTCTCAACTATGCCATTCTACCATTTACACGGTCTTTGGTGTTGCTCCTGAGATACCCTGTGGAGACCCAGTTGTTACCTTGCTATGCCAGTTTGTTGGACAGTTGCTCAAAGAGAATTTCGCTAAAATCACCAATTAATTTTATGTAGAATATTAAAAATATACATCGAAACCTCTTGAGTTCAAAATATACTGTTTTAGAACATCATCATTCAGTTGGTGTGGTGCATTCATTTTTAACTTCACAGTATTGTGAGACAAAGTAGAAGGCAAAAGGGGAAGAGAGAATTAATCATAAATATGCATTTTAGGGCAGTTTATGGCAGATCTACTACTGCCATACAGATCTACAGATCTGCTACAATTGTACAGACTTTCAACACCATAGTTCTTTGAGATGTTAGCTGTGTCCTCAGGAGTGTATTTGCTGATTGGTACAGGAGTATTTATATCTAAAAATAACACTTTAAATACATTTTACATTTTGACAGTTTTTCTTCTTTTCTGTTTTTAGAAAGAACCTTGGCATTTTGTAAGACAGTTAAATATATCATGCCATAAAATTATTTAATAATAATTTAGTTGCCTTCTCAAATTGCTTTTTAATGAATAAAATAGATGGGATATGCTGAGTTGCATGGAATTTTGTGGGATTTTTTTTTGATTCTGAATTTATTATTTAAGTTGTAACATGTCCAAGTTTTAACACCCCAGAAATATTAACGTGTCCTAAAATATCCCAAATTCTAACTACAATTGCTTTACATTCAAACCTCAATTGCACTGATACTTAGTTTAGCTTAGACATATTATTTTAGTATGGAACTTGTTCTGGGTTTAGAACACTGTTTTATAGAACTGTTAGTCTTTCACCTTCATGATCATTTTGCAGATTTCAAATGTCTCTTAATTTGCTCTCTTTTTTTTTTTTTTTTTTTTTTTTTTTTTTTACGGCATTTTTTATGAGCTGGTTACTTGTATTCACAATTATAGTCTTGAGTCTGTAAGATGTGCATGAGGAATTCCCTCATATTACAAAATGTTTCAAAATACTGTATTGAATAATTGCTTTTGATTGCAGAGTGAGGTTGTTGGTTGTTTTTTTTTAACAAGCTAATCTGAGTTACTAGATTTCCAGGCAATTTGAATACCCAAGAAGGGTCTTTTTTCTCTGATGTTTAAAAAAGCAATCAGTGTTATAGAAGAGGTTTATAACTGCAATTAAATGCAAGGATTTTTTTTTAGTGAGCCTATATTGGTTTCTTGTCTCTTCTTGCCTCTCATTAGAAATCCAGTGGGGAGAAGATGGCCGACCCTTTCACTTTCTCTTTTATACTGGCAAGCCATCATATTATTCGTTAATGCACGTAAGTATGTTGTCATCTGCAGTGATAATGTTAGTTCTCCGTCAGACGTGTGTTACTCCATAGATGGGCTTCTGGATCTCCTAAATTTACTCAGCTCTTTTTGCAATAGGTCGAAATCAAATGTGATGGATCTGTATTGTGACACAACATCCATTCTTAGAAGTATTTTTGTATCAAATTTAAGAGGATAAAGTATGTTATAGTTACTGCTTTAATTTAGAGGTCATTTTACAGTTGGGGCTGTGAACTGGTTGTGAATAGTCTGAATGCTTCACTACGTGTTGGATATGGGTCAGTAACTCAAGGTTTCTACTGGATAGTGAATATGTAACAAAAACATCTTGTTCTAGGAAAATTTGTTGATAAATAGCAAATATCTTTCCTCCTAAAGGGTGAAGCTATAGAATAAGTTATTTGTACTGACATTCAGTACAAAGAAAATTTGCATTTGTTCAATAATTTTTTTGTTTATTTGTTTTAAGACTTTTATTCTGGCAAAYTTAAGGCTTATGCTGATTGGAATGGTTCCGGGAGCAAACCTCCCGATTTGATCTGTGCTGATTATGATGTGATGATGATAAAACCTATATCTAGTAAAATGTCACTAGATCCTGCTTCTTGAAGTACATTCTAAGCAGACGTTTCATATCCTTGACCATCAACAGCCCAAGCATGATCTGCTTCTTTAGAAGAGGTTATAGGGACACACTCAGGGTTTTAACATGTACTTAGAGAAGACAAAAGCCTTAGTTTTGAATGCAGATTTTTTTTTTTTAATCAGACAGTCCTGTCACATTTTGTTTCCTCAGTAGATAGTCTCGAAAACTTGCTTCTGTGCTTAACATGTGCTGCAAAAATAAACGCGGTGTTACCAAATCCTGTGCCCGCCTTTCCCGTGCCCAGTTTTTCTCACAAGATTTATGTGATATTTATTTGTGTGGTGTGTGCCCAAAGGACAGAATCCCCACTTGTCAGGTACATTTATTTCTTTTAGAGAATAAAAACACACCCTTCCGCTCCCCACCCCCCTCGGGTTTTCTGTTGTTGTTGTTGACCTTGGGCAAACGCGCTCCTTGCCCTGGCAGAAATGAAATGAATGATGAATGTGGAGCGTGTCTTTGCTGAGTAATGGAGCTGCAGCGGAGCCTTTCCGGGGAGGTTTTCCCTGCGCAGCCCGAGGCAGCGCGAGGACCCCTGCTGTTCATTTAAATAGGTATGTCAAATCCGCCTCGAAACGCCGCCGGTTTGATCTGTGGTAATATTTGTGAAGGTTCCATCTGGGCTCGAGCCCCCCGCGGTGCTGAGAAATAATGTACAACGCTTCATGGTGCCGGCGCAAATTTCCTCGGAAAAGGGCCGCGCTGCCGCGCTCTGGCTGTCGGGGAGGATGATGGAGCGGAGGCGCTGGGCCTGTCAACTTGTTACACGGATGGGTTGCACGCAGCGAGGCTGCGGAAAATCTGTGCCTTTTAACTTTCCTACTTAATCACGGTTGTAGCATTGCCTTCAGACTGTATGCTACATTAATTCTCTTCCTGCCTTCTGCCTTTCATCCCAAGTTTCACGGGGAAAAAAGTAAAGCGGGCAGGTCTTGCGGAGGAGCCTTATCAAGCAGCTGTCATCTGACAAGCCATTTGCATTTGTTTTGGCTGGAACGGAGCAAGCCAAGGGCAAGATGTTTTGTTGCATTCCATCATAATGAAGAAATTACCAATTTTACAGGGAGCACAGGTTTATTTTTAGCTCTTCCAAGCCTTTAGAAAGAGTATGCAAGATTGCACTGGAATTAAGAGTAGGGTGCAGCTTGTTGCCACGCTGTAAGAAATCCCCCTTCCAACAAAATTGGTTTGACAAATACAAATTTCGTTCGTATAGGGTGTTTAAGTACTTGAGAATTCTTAGAATGTTTCTAAATATCTTCATTAAGTAGAATTATAGCAACCTGAGTTTGTTAAGTGGTGTTCAACAGTCATTTTAGTTAGTCAACCAAATGAAAGGTGAGATCTGCATAAAATTCCCCATTTTATTTTAATCTCTTATTAGATAAGAGGTAGTGTGTACTGAAGATTTTTTGTAATTTATTTTAAAATCTCACAGCTAGGGAAAAATAAATGTTCTATGTTAATACAGTCTACTGTAAGTAATCAGTCCCATTTTAGAGATTTCAGGTTTTTACAAGAAGTACATAGGCTAAACATAATTTAGGTTAAACTTGTATGTCATTAATTACTACAGACTTAGGTGGAACTTGAATTTTATTGATCACAAGTGAAATAATTGCTTGCAGTATCGTTAGTTTAGGTAATGTTAATAATCACTATTGCCCATTAAAATAGTGACTATTTTCCATATTTGTTATTTTCCATATTTGTTATAACGTATTTTCCATATGTGTTATAACAGGCAGTGTTTATGTTGATGTATGGTATGAATACTAAATGAACTTTTATAAAAAGATACCTTTTATACTCACGTTATTGTCTTTGCCTGTTGAATAAAGTTAGTMGTAGGGAAAAGGACAATTTCTTTCTTAATACGCAAGTGCTGCACAAAAGACCGTTTCAGAAATGTTTAATGATAGGAGATTGGATCATCTAACCTCAGAGTTTTTCAGAGAGAAATGTAATCCTATTTTTGTGCTGTGCCAAGCAAGACARAAGTAGCCTCTGCAAATGATTCTGTGCAGCAAATAGAATTTTATGTTGTGCTTTGTGTACCTTTTTAGAAATATCGGGGGTTGTAGATAGTATATACAACAGAGCATTTTAACTCTTAGACAAAAACAAAGAGGCATATGCTCAAGTCAAACATGCTAGAATAAAAGAAAAAAGGCAAAATATATAAATTACACAGGCTCTGCAGCATTTTTAAACTGTAATATTAAATTATATATTCCACACTTGCCTTTTTTCCCCCCTTTTTACATGCATAAGGAAATGAGAATATTATTTTTCATTTTAAAAGGGTGCATCCTTGTACGAATCTGAGATTTGATCCCTCTATTAGAAATGGAAGCGTTTCAGTACATAGCCAAACTAGTGAAATCAGCTATTTTGATTGTATAATAGCTGAGTTTACAAGACACACAGATGTGTACATTCATGAGTTTGACTATTGAATCTCCAAGTGATTAGTAAAATCTTCACCTGCCAGCTTTGAAAAAGCTTCTTCAGAAGCTTGCTTTAGTCTTCGGGGAGTGAAGATTTGTCAGATAAATTACTGGGCATTGCATATGATTCCTGATTTTGCAAAGACTCATCCACATACTTTACTTCACACGTGATTGGTTCCATTAGCCTGACAACTTCATCTCTATACAAAAAATACAAGCTTTATTTATTTATTTATTTTAAAAAATACCTAGGACCAAGATTTTATCTCATAAGAGGAATGTAAATCCACTTTTACAGCCAGGAATATGCAGGAAATTCTATTTAGCAAGAGCAGTTTTCCTACAATTAGAAGTACTTTAAAATAGAAAATAGTAYTTCTCAATGTTATTTGACTTCACCTCCCATGTAAAGGGCTTGGATTATCATTTTGCTTTTTTGTATGAATGAATATTGCTACAGGAATTTAACCAAAATTATTTGAAGAGATGATCTTTATTTCCAGAAGTGCATGATTTCAGAACTTCATATGCTATGGAGTTTCGGTATTCCAGAGGAATACCTAAGGAGTAGCTTAAGGAAACCCTTACTCTTCCAGCTGTTACAAAGCTTTTCTTGTAGCTCTAACAATGAATTTCTGAGTCTAAAACCTGGCAGGCAGCAGCTCATGCCTCTCTTCACTTAGCYGTGTGTATCAGTAGCTCCTGAAGGTGATGAGTGAGTCCTGTTACCTGGAGGTATTTTAGCTGTTTAGAAGCAATTCTGACCACAGGCAGGAGGCACTAAGGTAACAATAGCAATTCCTGCCTTTTCTTCTTCACTGGTAAGACTTGATGGAGTTGCCCTTTTGTTCAGCTCGCGTTTAATGTATTCTTTGCTGACCGCTCCAATATATAAATGTGTTTGCCAGAGTGTAGTGAAGATGCTGGCTGGGATTCGTGACTCGTTTTGCCAGGTAGGACAGTGGCACTCTGCCCTGTGGAGCTGAGAGAACAGCAGCCTCTGAAGTGTAAACCCTTAGTGCAGGTTTTTCTGGGACCCACTAACCCAGCTGCCCTCCTGACCGCCTGGCTAGAATCACAGAATCCTTAAGGTTGGCAGGGACCTCTAGAGATCATCTAATCCATCTAATCCTAATCTACAAGTGCATAAAAACTGCGCACCTCGTGTCCTCTAACCCAAACCACGTTGGGTGGGTTCGGGGAGGGAGGAGAGTGTTTCTCACATACATAAAAAGTAAATTTTGCAGCCTAACAGGCAGGTGTGAAATGAGCTGGTAGGATTGTTTGTGATTCGATGTGCGTCCTACCAAAGTGATGCTGCCATGTCTTGTAAGCTTGCGAAGTGAGAAATCTACTGATATATTTGTGAGGTTTGGGCATATTTGGAAATATCGCTTGTTACACTCTTTTATATGTTATTTCCTATCTTTTTTAAAAGAAATAGACTGTAAAACGAATGAGTGCTCTTACAGATACTCAGTTCCTACTTGACACAGCTTATTAAAAATAAAGCCTTTCTGGAAGGCTTACTGCTGTAATACATGAGTTTTTGCACTGTCTTTGGGGAAGGTGATCAGTTTTATATTTTAGAGTTTTATACTGTGAAATTATTCCAAAAATATTTTTGTTCACTCTGCAGTTAAAAGTGTCACCAGTGACCTCCATGACCTCCATCAAAGATATATGTTTTTTAGTGAATTGTCCCCATCTATTTAAGTGCTTTTGAGTGTAGCTCAGATAACAATCTGTTCTTAGTTCATGAACTTTAAGTACAAATATTTTTAGTATATGTGCRGGTGTGTTTTTATATTAGTGGATAAATGAATTTGAACAGTAGGTGTTTATACCTGTGAGAAAGGTTGTGGGTTTTTTGAACAACTACTGAGTTGCAGAATCTTCATTGTATCTTACTACAAATCACATTATTGCTTATGCTAAGAACTAGCATTTCAGTCATGAATTCATGACAAGAAGCTGCTGTCTTGCATTTCCCTCACTGATGATCTTCTTTGTAAGCAGTACAAAGGAAAAAAATGGATCCTCAGTAATTCTGTTACTGTATTTTCTCTCTGGGTTTAGAAGCTTTTACTGAAACTCATTATATTAATAAAATAACTGAAAATGATTATAAGCTTTTTCACCTGTTAACATTTTTTAATACATGCACTTTGCTCTAGTAGCACATTATTGTTTAGGTAATATTTAGAATTATTTTTCCAGATACTTTTTTTGACTTCTGATTCCAATTACTGATGTAATTAGAAGTATTTGACTTCGTATTTTAGTTAGAAAAAATTCTGAACATTATTTAGATTAAGAAAAGCAGAGGATATTAAAAGATTCTCTCCTGTAATATTCAGTGCAGCTTTTAAAATATTTTTGCTTTTGTAAACTTGTAAATCACTGCCACAATTAGCTTTGTTTGAAAATGCAAAGCTAAGAAAGATAAGAACTTAAGAAAACTCCATTATGCTTTAGGGGGAAAAAAAAAGGCAAAAGTATTAGTGCTGAAATCCAGAGTCAATATTATCAGTAACATTTGAAAGAGCAGAAACTCTGATTATGGTAAGTGCAAAACCTTAAATCTGTCTCTAGAGACCTGCGTGGATGAGAGGGAATCTAGCAGATGCAAACCATTCTTACAACTGAACAGTCTAGAAAAATATAGAAAAATCTAAATATTTTTTCTTCATTCTTTGTCAGTATTTGTATAAAGTCAAGATAAAACTACTGTACAGTATGTTGTGGAAGTACTTTACAAACGTTGCTTTTTCTTCATGTTTGAGAACTGTTTTTATTTAGGACATATATGAAGATGGGAAAGATTGATAAAGAAAAATATCAGAATTCAAAAATGAGCTGAATATAAAAATAGTAAACATACTAAATTCTTATTTGTTTAGTTTTAATCCACTGTATATTTTTTGATTGTGGAACTTTTTACCTGTGTTTTGAGCTTTTCTGAATTTTAGGAGTTAGGAGAGCTAAAGCAAATAAATGAATGTTCTTAAAAATATAACTATTGAGTGGAGAAATGCATTTAATCTTTTTTCCCCCTATATATTTTTAGGAAACATATGGAATGTTGCTAAATGTTCAAGAAAACCAAGACCAAATGTCAGTTGAAGACTTTCCCCCAGAGAAAGAAAAAAGGTAAGTTTCCAGTTGGAGTGARTATTGGTATTAACTTTCTTAAAATGCTTCAATATGTTTTTCTGGCACTTACGGTCTTAAATCCCAGTTTTCCTGACCTGTTGCATTTGGAGAAAATGTATAATTCAATCCAAAGTARACAGAACTGTATTTCTTCAGTCTTTTCCCTCATACCACCTGCGTGCTTATTTCACAAACACATTTTTGAAGTTTTCACTGGTCCTTTGCTAATGTTTTAAGCTAACTTCATGTCAAAAGTATAACTGTAATGCTTCTGGAGTGCTCACTTCTCACTGTATAAATAGGAAAACAACTATTTCTYTTATTTTTGAATCTCTTCTACTACTCTTTCACTATCCTCTCCTTTATAAGAATTTTAAAGTACAATTTGAAAATAAATAATACCCAAGATTTGGTGCCTTCCGCCTCTGTATGGAATTTTCTAATTAATTCTTTATTAAAAAAAATTGAAATGAACTGAGTTCTTTGTGAGAAAAAGAGGCCTTTGTAAACATCAAGTAAGTAGCTCACTTCTGGAAAAACTCTAAGGTGAAAAGCTCAGATAGTGTCTTTTGTGAGTTAACAGTTCTTGAATATTTTTATATGCAAATATTTCATTCATAGTGTCAAGATGCATGTTTTTACATAAAATATTTTGAACAGCTAAATCATCAAAACTGCAGTCATTCCAGACAATGTTGTTTGAATTTGTTTAAATATCATGGATGGTAGTTACTGAATTTAATTCCTTTAAATTTATCTTTCTTTTTTCCCTCCTCAACCTCTCTGATAAGCATAGTAGAAGCTGTTCAGCTAGTTAGCTCCTGAACAGGAAAAGATGCATGTGAGATAGAAGAAGGAGCTGTGAGGAAGTGCTGTGTTCGTGGTTTCTGAATCTGTGCAGTCAGGATTTTCTTTGAAATAAGTATGTGCTTTAAGAACTAAACATTTTTCTTTTCTTCTTAAGAGAATAAAGAAGAATACAACCTTTTTTTTTTATTTTTTGAAAAACTATTGATACAGTAGAATATTAAAAATTCCCGGCTTTATCCATTTCTTTAAATTTAGCATCATCACTGTCAGTTTTTTTGCTAAGTAGCTATTTTGCACAGTCATTCTTTCAATATGGAAATTGTTTTTATAGTTCTTTGTATTTCAGAGGTAGCTCTATGTGCTATTCTAGTTGCACRTAGTTGCAATCTTGGCTTCTCCTAGTTTCAGCATTTTTTTTTAATTTATATTGGTAAGAGAATTAATTTGCTGCTTTATTTCCATTTATTAAAAATAACAGAAGTTCATGTTTTTTATGGTTTGAGAAAAGAATCCCATGATATACAGCATGTTTCATCATCGACTCATGTTAGTTTCTGAGGAGACAAGGAAAGTGCTAAGTTCAGYTTCTTAGTGCATCTTTCAGAAAAATAATGTGATGTGACTGCACAGAGCTAAGCCAGTGGATTTACTGATGGGGAGACCGATCAGAAAGGAGGCTGGATTTGAAAGCTTTTCCCCTTTTTACATTTGTAAAACTTCAAAGAAGTCAAGGGATTACTTGAGACCTATTTTTCACATTGGACGTGGAAATTTTCCYCAGGGATGCATCTGGATAGTTTAAATCCCAGCGTAGACAAGGTTTTCTGATTGGGTATGTGATTTTTATTTTTGGGGTGGGAGGAGATGGGGCCCATTCTGTAATATTGGTCTCACAGTGAAAGTCTTAAGTATGTGCTTGTGTTTGTGTATACCTAGTTACAGTGGAGTCCATGACATTTTTCAAATATGAAAAGTTCTAAGCTTAAATCTTTCAGGATCAGGTCCTTTTTTGATTTCCATTAAAAATGGCAGTATTTCTAAATAAATATTTCTCAGATCCTGCCTCAAAAAAGTATTAAAATATGTACTTGAATTACTACATATTCACTTTGGGGAGGGATGATATTCTGAATTGGATCTTTCTTAATGCARCTGAAAAATACTCATTAAAATTATACTAGGATTATAGCAGGATTTAGGAAACTAATGTCACCTCTTTGTTTTTAACCTACCTAGTAAAATTGGCATATATTCATGACTTTCTGTTTTGTTTTTATGTGTGTATTTCTAAAAGACTTATTTCAGACATTGATTTTACTCTGTATTAACGTCTCCATATGAGGCTGTTTTCTTACAGATTTCTGCTGTTGCCGTCAGAAGTGCAGTTTCTGTGTTGCTCTCCAGAGCAGGAGGGCTGATACCCGCTGCTGCTGGTTGTCTGATCTAGCATGGAGCAGATCCAGATGACAGCAGATAAAAGACAGTATTTTCATTACTGCATTTGTGCTTTGACTGTGCCAGACGTGTTGCAAGAATGAGCAGAAGAGTAAATACCAAAGGCAAAAAATACTGTTGCATTAAGATTTTTTTACAAGGTTCTGCCTCAATTTTGTTCTTTGCAGCTGGCATACACCTAGCAGCAGGTTTTTAAAATTAAGTTTTGAGCAGTGAGGAAACTAGCTTGCTATTTGAAGGTTACTCATGCTCACCAGTCTTGGATTTTAATAATATAAATAACCTGCCAATGCGATTCATAATGTAATGAATTAATCCAGCAGTTGAAGTTAGCCTTCCTTTCMAAAGATCGGTGTTTTAAAATCAGCACAGGCCTCGTTGTGTTTACTATAGGAACGTGATTTGTATTTATTTGTAAAGGAAAAGGTACTTCTGAACCAAGCCTGTATGTGTGGTCCTTTGTGATGTAACTCTTAATTGCACAGTTAATTAAAGGAAGACTGTATGTGATATTTTCAGCAAGAACCTGCCTGGCAGCAGATGGCTGACTAAGATGGAATTGGAAGAAATGTTGTTAGAAAACCTGTCAGATCATGATGTAAGTAATTAATCTTTCTAATCTTAAGGGGGCTTGTATCTTAAAAATACAGATTGTGGGTGCGTCTTTAGATATCAAACAGGTATTACTTAGAGGCAGGTGCTTTTCTAAAGAATTTTTTTCTTCCTCGGTTGGTTTCATGTTGTCTTTGAAAGTACCCTAAGCCTCTCTCTTTTATGTAGAACAATATGGGTTATGTTATATGTGTTGGAGGTTTTACATTACTTTAAAAGCTACCTTAGCTTTTCTCCTGACGTACTAATGCCTGTAGTAAAAGGGCTTGTTCCTTGACGTCTGCTATGTCTGGAATGAGTGATAGTGGCAAGCTGGTCATTCATTGAGAATGTGCATCATGCTCACACAGCTTCTAGAAAGATGGGATACTCAAAAATACTCGAAATACTCGAAAGAAGGAACCTTATGGATTTATGTATTGGTAAGACTGCACAGATGTCATATAACCTTATGAGGGCAATGACAGTGATAGAAAAAATAAAGATATTCCTTTAAATATCTTAAAGATTTAGGAAATCCTTCCTTAAGGATGTAGTACTGGCTACAGAATCAAATACCAGATATAAGATACAAAGCTAGATAGATCGATCCATGGCCGAACCCGGGTGAGCTCTTCATATGGTCTCTCTCTCTCTCTCTCTTTTTTTAATTTGGAATCCAGCATTAGTTTTTAGTAACAGCAGACTTGGGTGTATGACCAATTTTAATTCCAAATTTTTGAAGCTTGAACTTGAATTATGATAGTACCAGAGACCATGACGTTGGGAATATCGGGTATTTTCCCATGTAGAAACTACGCTCTTCAATATTGTGTCCTACGGACAGCACTAGGATGTGTTGAGGAGACAGCGTGGCAGCAGCCTGGATGGCCCTCATTCACATGCCATCCCAGACGGTGACATGTGGAGGCTTCCTTCGCTGCAGACAGGGTGAAAAGGGCTTGAGCAGAGTGTTGTCCGTAAGCACAAGGGCTCCTTGCTGCTCGCTTCTTTTATTTTTATTTTTGTAACATTTACAACTCTGTAAAATAAAAGCCCTTTCATGCAAAGCTGTGAAGCCTCGTGCTGCAGGAATGCATGTTTTAAGGCTTAGATATATTTGAAATATCTAGGCATGAGCTGTCCATCTTGGTGGATTTTTGTACTACCTGATTTTTTTATATATTGCATTGCAACAAAATTTTCTGTGGTGCCTTATTAAAATGAGAGTTAATGATTTTCTTTGTAAATAAAAGTTGTTGGAGGTTTKCATTATCAAGAGGCTTCATAATTTTAAAATTTCTATGTGTTTGCGGATTTAATTTTTAAAGGCTTTCGCTCACGTCTTTATCAGATCATTAGAAGTAGCTTTCTGAGTGGTGTCAGAATCACAAGAGCAATTGCTCTGTTAGGAGAAAAGAACTAATTTTTTGCAGAATATTCTGGAAATGACAAAGAGAAATATCCTTGAGACTGTTTTTAGTGGCAGTAAGTAAACCAAAAGTTAGGATATGTATAGAGAAAATGCATTTTAGATGCTAACATACCTTTACATCCTGCAACCAGCTCCTGCCAGCAACACTTCCTAACAGGACAGCCCAGTTTGAAGCACCAATGGGTTAACTCACCCAGTGGTGTTTGCGCTTTAATCACATGTTGAAGAASTTGGGGGGGTGCAGGGGGAAGGAGAACCACACAGTAGCGAGGGATAATTTATTTCAAGAGGTTGCCCTTTAAGTCAAGTATCTCTTGAATTTTTAAATAGCTTGATTGTTCGGTTTTAAAGGAAATCATAAACATTAAAGTAACTCAGCTTGAACAGCCATAGATAGATAGATAGGTATTTCCTGTATATATTATAAAATATAATCATCTGAGAGGTTGAGTTTACTGCAATAAAATTAATTCCATGTCAATGAACATATGCTGACTTACTGAAAATGAAGAGAAAATCTTCTCCTTTTGTCATTTTAATAAAAGAAGAATAAAAGATTGAAGACGTCCTGAATGTTTTCCTTCTGAAAAATGAGATGACCTTCTTTCTAATATAATAAGCCTGCATTACAAAGGAGTTGGTTACACTTCGAATTAAAGATTCATTGTTGCCTGAAGAAAGGATTAGGTGTCTTTAGTCACACAAAACGATGCGTCTGCACGCTGTTCTGGAGTCAGCATGGAGGTGCAAAAGTGTCATCTTGTCAGAAACCATCAATAAAAGCAAAGTAGGAGAGATCAAGTGTACAAAAATAGAAAGTTTTAGCAGATGCAATTACACTTGCATCCCTTAATGAACTCTTGTTGTCTACAGTATTCAAGATTTATTCAACTGCTGCAAAAAATGGTGGCGTTGCCATATGGTGCCGACGAGGAGAAGTATATGAAGAAGTTTTCCAAAGAAATTGTGTCGCAGTTGCAGAAAGTGGTCATTGAGCCTTTGCAGTACGACGAGCGAGGAGTGGCCTTCAGCACTGCTGAAGGTAAGAGCCTGAGGGTGGTTGGAAACCATGCCTAATTTTTCCCTCTCCAGGTTTTTTGTGATGCCAGTGAAGGACACTGCTGATGGTCTCACTCTTCATTTACTTGCTTATGTGTATATGTGTGTATATATATATATAGTATGTACCATGTAGTTATATATTTTGCTACATTATTCTAAGTTGTCATAGGCCAGGTAACAAGCCTGGAATTTTTGGCACAAAGCCTGTGCACTGATAGATTTTGTTTGTCTTCCTGTGCTGTTGAGAGGCCCCTGTTGTGTACAGCACTGTACAGTGCTGAAAACTTTCTTTGCCCGCAGGCRTTGACTTTTGAACTCACAGGGCAGGGAATGGGGGAACACAGAAATACAAGCGAAGAGCTCACAGATGAAACAAAATGTTATGGCTTGATGTGGAAGTGGCATGCTGAGACCATGGAGTAATGCCTGCCCTGACCTTCATAGGCAGCCTCGAAAATGAGGATTGTGAAGGGCACGTGAATCAAAAACAGCAAGGCAGAAACGTATTTGCAGTCAGCCCAGGAAGAAGCCAAAGAGGACTTACTTGTTGCCTTTTCCAACATTAGATGAAGCAGATTTAGAGACAGGAGTGGGTCATTTGGTGTTGAGGCAGAGCTGATGATAGAGAGAAGCCTTGAAGGTCTCTCCATTTATAGGCGCAGATAATTTTGTGTTTTTAATTAGGGAACTTCTATTGAAGTAATGATTCACAGATTCACAGAATATTTACGGTTGGAAGGGACCTCTACAGATCATCTAGTCCAACCTTCCTGCTCAAGCAGGCACACCTACAGCATGTGGCACAGGGCGGCATCCAGACGGGTTTGGAGACCTCCAGAGAAGGAGACTCCACAACCTCCCTGGGCAGCCTGTTCCACTGCTCTGTCACCCTCACAGTAAAGAAGTTGCTCCTCACTTATGAGTGACTAGAAAAGTCAAGGTAGCAATAAAATAGATAGGAAAGTGTGGAGATTTTCTGGACAGAGTGTATGCAAGTCTGTGCTCCTACACACACACACACACCTCTTTATCTGTGTGCTGCATTTTTAAGAGGCATCTGAGTCGAAGACGAAACGTTTTCCTAAGCAGTAGCCAGGGAATGATGACAGTTAAGAAGGAAGGTAGCAGAGAATTTGAGGGGCAAAACAGAGAACCATATATAACATATAAGAGAGCCACACTGAGATTAAACCCACAATAGTTTTACATGGTGTATTCAGAATATTTGTTGCAGAAGTTGGTAAACACAAACCCCCTGTTATTTAAGATATTACTAAGTTCAAGAACAGTCTTGTTTGTGTCCCATCACTTCCTAAATTAAATAAATGGTCTAATCTGTTTCAAAATCCATTTATCAAAATGATTATTTCCTTTGTGTTACAGAAGATCAATCTTTAGGCTTTAGGGAAGAGAGTCTGATGTGCTTTTCACAGAGAACTGAGCTATAACTGGAAATTTATGAGGAAACTGTGCTAAATGATGCATAAGCATTGCTTATACCACTGTAATTAAAGCATTAACCTTCTTCCATGTGCGTATTTTTAAAGCTATTGTAATGTTTAGATGATTTTATAAAGTATTTTAATATTTGTCTTAGAAGTTGTATTTATGACAAACATACTCAACACACTGTTTATTCTCTTATATTGTGACCTTATATTTGTGACCAAGTCAGAAAATTCCCTGATCTGCTAAAGCTGTGGCAGGTGTCCTCGCAACCTCTCCCCATTTTTTTCCACTAATAGAAAAAGGTTGAATTCATAAGGATTCCAAAGCTCCTAAAACAGGAAAGAGCTCACTCTCAGTTTCTGTAACATTCAAGAAAAAAAACCCTCCTGTATGAAAAAGTAAAATTACTGTATGAAAAAGTAAAATTTGCTTAACTCTTTGAGCCTTTGAAATCCTGCAAGTTATTAAAGTCTCATTACAGACTGTTTTTACTTCCTTTAAGGTCAAAGAAAAACCGCAAGAGCTACTGTGGTAGTTTATGACAATGGAAGTGGGAAAATCACAGTGAATGGAGTGGATGCTTTACGTTACTTTCCAGTGCTGCAGGACAGGTGAGGACGTTATGAAATGCTGCATTCTTACTGTACAGGAAATATTTCACCAAAAGTTAGTCTGTACAACTCTATTTTGGTGCCATATTCTACGGATTTGCAGTTATGTCTCTTCTTCCTCCAGCCCCCATAAGTATTTGTTTTATGAAAACTAACTTTTTTTTTTTTCCTACTAGTATTCCTCCTAGACTTAGTAGTTTAAGACCTGGCAACCGAGCTTTGCTCTCAGTGCTTCTCTTATCTCGCTTTCTGAAGGGGTGCAGAAATCAAGAACATAGCCTAAAGGGGGTAGTTCAAGTTTTGGTCCTCTTAGAAAAGGTTTGCAGTTTACTTTAAATAAACAAAATGAGCAAACAAACAAAACCTTAAAATATATCTCCTGAGAGCCTTCCACATGAGACAGGCTCCTGTGTGGTTACTGTCATACAGCAGGGTAGTGGAAACACAAGATGTGAGGCACTTCATAAAAAGCTGCAGATTTTGAAGGAAATGCAGCGCTTATATTCTTCTATAGATAAGGCTTCTCATAAGGGAGAGAAAGTTTCCTCTATCAGCCATACATGATATATATATATATATATATATACACACATGTATGTATGTATATACATATATAGTGGTAACTAAGTTCAAGCCTAAGTTCAAGCTCAGCCTTATTATCCAGAGATGCCAAATTTTGGCGTTTGTGAATAATGAGTGATACGAACCTACCTGCAAAACTGAACTTAAAATACTTCGGGCACTCTGTGCATGGTCTTAGCAATAAATTTCTCATTGATTTTGTTGTTTTCAATGGAAGTTAGGCACCTAATTGCCTTTTTGAAGCTCTGTAAAAGTTAACTGTGATTTTCTGCATGTACGGTGATAGGGAATGTTCCTTCTTTGTAATTGATGTGACTGTATACACTTTTTTTTTTCTTTTTTAAGAGAACAGTTGATGTTCCCTTTCCAGTTTCTTGATAGAATTGAAAAGCATGATATGATCTGCACAGTGTCTGGTGGGGGAAGATCCTCACAGGCTGGAGCGATACGTTTGGCCTCTGCTAAAGCCTTGAAGAGCTTTGTGACTGAAAAGGAGGTGGAATTAATGAGGCAAGGTAGGAGTGGAAACTTTTGTTTGGGAAATAACTGAATTCATAGGATGAGGATGAGGGACCAGATGCTGCAAATTTGAGTAAATAATCCTAGCAAAATCTTCTGTGTATATATGAGTTGGATCTAAATTTATGTATAAAAAGTTTTCATTTCTTTCCTCACATCCTTTGTATACATTTCAGCTGACAAGTCTGAAGTCTATAAGACAGTTTGTATTGTGTCTGCATAGACTCACAAAGCACGAATATATATTCACTGACAAAGAATTCTGGACCAGATATTCTGTGAGCTGTAATCTAGTTATACTGTATTTTGTTTCAGTTGGGTAGCCTCCCATTGCTCATGCTTTCAAAGCCTTATTTTCTAATTTAATCACTGGTGACTTAGTTTTGAAGGGGATAGTAGGGAGCAAAGAGGTTGCACGAAACAAGCCAGAATGAAGAATTTTTTCCTCTGTTGTCTAATTCAGAGTTCACAAATGAGCTACTCAGATGCTGAAAAGAACTCCAATATTTAGTACTTCTCGATGTGCWGCAGCTGCACAATTATGAACTGTGAACTTTTAGTTATACTTCTAGTGCTAGTAGGGAGAGTAAATATATATATATATTTACACATATATATATTTTTATATATATTTATATATATATTTTTATACATATAKATTTTTATATATATACACACATATACGCGCACGCACGCTCCCATATGTATACTTATGCCACTGTGTTTGCATCAGGTTTCTCTGATTATAGTTTTTCAGTATTTGACAACTATACTTTGTTAGGAATGCTCCTGTAAATGGACATTTTAAAGAATTCAGTATGTATAATGAGATCAGCAGAACACTGAGCAGGTTTTGGACATTGCTAAATATGATTTTGAAACACTTGTTTGTTGTAAAGGTTTAAAATATATTTAAAGCAATAATCTGGATTATTCTTAGGCTTTATAAAGTAAATTATGGGTAAGTTCAGTTATTAAAGGAAAGTTAAAATGTTCCAATCTTTTTAGAATGTTTTACACTGAAGCTTTGTCTTTCTAGATGTTGTAATTCATATACAAAATTACTGACTGTCTTGAAYCCCCCTATTGGCATGCATGGGTAGCATACATGTAATATAATCTGTTAACASTAAATAAATGCAGTTTTTTCTGTGTTCTGTAGCTGGACTACTAACAGTGGACCCGCGTTTGAGGGAACGAAAAAAGCCTGGTCAGGAGGGAGCCAGACGGAAGTTCACCTGGAAAAAACGCTAAGTCTGAGTAGATGGAAGAAGTGCAGAATACCACAAGAATTTCAGAACATACCTAATTATGATTTAAATCTGTTATAAAAATATATTTAATAATAAATATTTTTTTCCATTATGACTTACGTGTTTTCTGTGTTTAAAAAGGAGCAAACAATTTTTTATAGAAAAAAAAGATCTTTGAAAATTGTGACATGATTTGTCAGAACTGCAGGTCTGCAATAGCAGCTTGAATGCTAGGTTTATGTCTTAGCTCCACTGAAGTCAATCACAATTTATTGTTGATGCACTATAGCTCTCCAAAAACTCGTCTGTTTGCTTAGTGACTTGACTATCTAAAGCCCAGGCAGCTCCAGGTATTTAGACCACAATGTTGSAGTGCCTGAGTGCCCCACGGGAGGTTGAGGCAAAATGGCAATTTCCTGCCTAAGCTATGGTGGGGTTGAGAAACTAATGAGAATGTACTGAAGTTTGGGGGCYATTAAGAGAACAGTCATGGGAGCTAACCCTTTTTCTGTGGGATCTGTTGTCCTCAGGATCCCTCCCTAGATTAGGCAGAGTGTGATTCAGAGCAAACACCTTATTTTTGGTGCTCTGAATCACCCTCTGGAGGACTCAGTTTCTCTGTTCTTCCCCCGTAAATGTGGAGGGTCTAGGCTGAAGTCGGTCTCTTCAAGTAGTCTCCTTCACTTCTTAAATCACAAGGGACCTGATCAAGCAATATGTGATGGACATGGCTAATGTACAGGACTGACATTGGACTGACAAATACAGTTATGACTTTTTTAAAATCAGAAGCAGGAGGTGATGACAGTGCTGCCCACTGCCTGTCTATAATGGTAGCCTTCCTTACAGCATTTATCCACATTCTTCCTTACAGCATTTATCCAAAAAGGTGAAAATTTTTGTTTTATTTTTATCTTCCTTCCAGAAACAGAGGTGAATGTAAAGAGCTTCCAGGAAAAATACACTGTTGGCACTTGGGGAGACATCCTTCCCTCTTTCTGTAGAAATTGGGCTGCCACAGGAAGGAGCGTAAGGGTCACTGAAGCCTTGCTACTCCCTGCAAAGTCTAGCTGGAAGCCCATAGTGATCCATGTTTTCCAGGAGTCAGGACTGGCTCCAGTGCTGTCCAACCTGCCCTCAGTGACCTGGGTGAAGGGACACGGTACTGTCTCAGCTCCGAAGCTGGGAGCAGGGGCTGAGGCACCAGAGGGCTGTGCTGCCGTCCGRAGGGACCTGGACAGGCTGGGGAGGTGGGCAGAGAGGAGCTGCCTGAAGTCCAACTGGGGGAGAGCAGAGTCCTGCGCCTGGCGGGGAATAACTGCAGTAGCCCCATGTGTCAGGACAGGCTGGGGGCTGATGTGCTGGGAAGCAGCTTTGCAGCCAAGGACCTGMGAGTCCTTGTGAAGAACAGGTTGTCGGGAGCCCCCCGTGTGCCCTTGTGGCCCAGGAGGCCAGTGGTGTCTGACACAGCCATAGGCAGGGTGTCAGGGTGTTGTGAGCAGGCCAAGGCGGGTGGAGCTGCCCTCTGCTCAGCCCCGCTGAGGCCTCGTTTGCAGTGGTGTGGTCAGTCTGGGGCCTCCCACTGCAAGAGCTGCAGAGTTACCAGAGAGACTCCAGCCAAGGGCCACCAGGATTGTCAAGGGCCTGGAGCACCTCCTAGATGACACAAGGCTGCAAGAGCCGGGGCTGTTTAGCCCGGAGAAGAGAGGACTCACAGACGGTTTTGAGGCCCAGGGCCAGACTTTTTCAGTGATGTCCAGTGTCAGGATGAGAGGCAAGGGGCACAAACTCAACACRGGAAAATTCATCTGCACCTAAGGAAGAACCTTTTCATTGTGAGAGTGACTGGGCACTGGGGCAGGTTGCCTGGAGATGCTCTAGGCAGGGTCCTATGCAACATGCTCCAGGTGTCCCTATTTGAGCAGGCAGTTGGATGAGATGATCTCCCAAATGTCCCTTTCAACCTCAGCTGTTGTGTAATTCTAGGAAATGCAGCTCCTTAGTTGTAAAAGGGCACCTGCCCAGCTATGAGAAATTCTGAGTTCTTCCAAATTTCTTTTGAAGGGCTGCAATACCAGGATTTTTTTCTTTCCATATGAGAAATATATATATATATTTCAGATAATATCAGATATATATCATGTTGAAATAAAAGTCAACTGTGACTAGAGATAAGAGCATTCAATAAACCATCCCTTCTAAAATGGATGCTTAAGGATATTTTCAAAATATGCTTTCACACAAAGGCATGTCTGTAAGCATGTGAATTTAAGTGAAGGCACTACCTAAAGAAAATATAGGAGAAAAAAATGCAAGTCTAAGAAAAGTGAACATACCACTTTACGTTAATTTACTTGTTCATCAGAAGTATTATACGAGGGAACTCAGGGCAGTTAGTTTTGGCTCATGACGACAGCAGCAGGATCAGATCATCAGTCTGAATAACCCAACCTCCCTTTGGCTTTTCCCTGGCACAGGCTCTTGTTTCAAGCTCCCAGTTGGTGTGTGCTCTGTGCCTCTTGCCTGTTGTATCTGCACGCTTGACAGCTGCTTTGGTGACTCCTGCTCTCCTGATGTAAGGATCCCATCACTATTTCCTTGATGGAGAGCCAAGTCCAAGGGAGCGTCCTGTGGCTAGCGAGGAGGTGCCACATCAGGGGCAATCCGAGGCARTTTTCAGTTATTTCACTGAAAATCCTATCCTATCCCTCCGCTTTGAGAGCGACTGTGATGTACAGAAAGAGCAGTTAGAAAACCAGTTATTAACAAGCAACCTCTAATCGCAGAGGAGGGGAGTTAGAAGGAAAAGCTCTTTCTGCTTTGTATTAATGCTGAYATTTGACCACAAGGTGGAGCAGTTGGCAATCTAATGAAACCAGCGCTTTCCAAAAGTGACCTGTAAATACTTAGGAAAGAAATGATGGTGAAATTTTCAAGTACCAGTAGCCAAATTTGCTGGTTTTACAATAGCAAATTAATACAAATGTAAATAAACAAGTTAAGTCTCTAAAGGGTAGCTTTGCATTTTATTTCCAGCAAGTATTTCTCTTGACAAGAACAAAATTCAGTGAAAAATAAATGTGAGGTGATGCCAGTTTTAAGTAGACTGATTTCAGTGTATAAGTAACATCTTTAAGCCWATATTTTGGATGATATGATATTTTGCTTGGTCTGTTGGACCTGAAATCAGACCAGTAACATTGGGCCATGACTGGCAGGACATTAAAATCATGGATCTCTCTGAAAACTGGAAATGTCTTATATTACCCTGGTAGTGAACCGTCATAGTCCTAATGCATTTTGGAACCTGTTTCAAGTGAACAGAGAGTTTTTGTACAATATTGCTGACATGAATGTCAAACAAGCATGTTCTGAAACAATCCTTATACTATTTTCTGGCAATTTATGTAAACAATAATGTGTATCATTTTTTTCTGTCATTAGTATGAGGTTCTGGCCAAAGTTCTGGCCAAAGAAAAGACAATTTTGCATTGAAATCTGCATTTCAGCAGATTTCAGTTATTTTCATTAAATTCTTTTGTGTACAGATACTAATTTTCTCAACGTTTTTCTGTGATAGTTCTATACTTCACTTCTACTCACAGGCTGGAATTGAAAGGAAATATGTTATTTATGTTTTGGTAGTACCTACTGGGCATCAAGGGAAATCTCACCTTACTAAATGTCCTACAAACTACAGGAATTCTTGCCCCATGTACCTGCACATATAAACAAAACAGAAGAGCCAGTGCATTCAGCAGATCACCCTGGACCACTTTGTGGTAAGTGTGGTATTCACCTTCACTTCTTACTTTCCAGTATGAAATAACTGATGGTGCTTAATACTGGTGCAATTCCAACCCCACCTGCCGTTTCCCTCCGAGTTGCTGCCAGGCTGGCAGTAGCTGGTGCTCCTCTGCTCAGCCAGGAGCTCGTGCTCTCCAGAGGCTCTGGGCTCTACAGAGGAAGGTGTATTTCAATGCTGTGAAGCTTGAGGCATCCAAGATGTGCTTCTTCACAACACCAAGTGATGTCATGTTCAGGTGCTGAGAATACCAGCATAATAAATCATATAAACCGAGTGTTGCTGCTCAGGCTAGCAGATCGTGAGAGCAGCTTGAACTAACAGATATGTGTGTGARCATGCAAGGTAACAGAAGCTTTAAAGAAATGTTGTGCAAAGCAAGAGCAAAACAGGTTATTTGTTATCTAGATGACACTAAAGAGCAGAGGGAAAGTGTCTTTGCTTTGTAAAGGGCTTTGTCTCCTTGGCAATGTTTTTCACACTCAGTCTGAGCCACATGCCCATCCTTACAGGTGTGGGATTAATCAACAAAATTCCTACTAAGGACAACTACACAGGCACACAAATGTACAAGAGCTCTTTAATATGCACACCATTCAGCACAAAATTGTGCTTCATTCACCTTTGCTGTAAAAAAGAAGGATTTCACAGAGCAGCTGGGTTGCCAGAAACTTGCAGCTTTTTGCTCCATGCCCCTTTCACGCTCAACGCGCGTTGCCACCTCCTTGCCTCAGTAGGCAGCTCTGGGCACAGCTGTGTAAAACCCCTCCAGAGCAGTGCAGAGCAGTGCAGAGCAGTGCCGTGTTTGTGCGGGTGTGCCTCGTCTGCGCTTAGCGTTAGAGGAAAATAAGAAACTCATATTTTACTAAGGATTATAAAGCTCTGGTGGGGCTGGACCCCTACATCCCAAGAGCAAGGGCTGCATCTCCTCACACAGACACAGTAGACTTAGTCTTTTCTTGCAAGAGGCATCTGTATCAACACCAAGAAGGTTGCCGACCAGCTCCTGTATAAATTCAAGTGGACCATTTCTTCATGCGACAGACAGCTAAAATACCTCCATCCTCTTCCTCTGGAACATCAAAACTGGAATCTGTTATTTAAAATAAATAACCTGCTAAATATTTAAAGTAAAATAACCTGCTAATTGTTTCATCTACAAGTTAAAGAGGAATTTATTTTTCCCTTCACTCAGCTGCAGCTGAAATCCTACTGAGAATGTGAAGGTTTTTCTGTAGTGAGACCTTGACATCAGTCTTGACATCTCTTCAATGTCTTGAGCC